TTCCAGTGCTCAGAGCATGTATGAAAGAGCAGGGGCCTGCCTTTGAGCGGGCAAGCGTCGGAATTTGTGCAGCGCATGCTCCACGCTGGCATAAGCGATAGTCCTGTTGCACGAGCTTCTCAATAATGTCAGGGGACTGGAAGTTACCTTTACTGTATGGCTTCGGAAGCTTCTTTGGCATGACGATGGCGATGAATCGGGAGATTGTTGCCAGTAGTATGCTTGCGCTCCGACTACCGCCATTAACACGATTCTTTGCTTGCGATGATGAGCACCGTCGTTCTTGGCAGCCCATTATTCCTTTCCATCCCTCAAATGGGGGTTCCCAAAAACAGGGGACCCCAATAAAGTACCCCAAATAATAGGATCCCTATTATAAGGACCCCAAAATAAGGTACCCCCTATTTTCGGAAACCCCCAACTGTTGTTGCCCGGCCCTCGAGGGTAGCGTTGGAAGGCTCCTGCTTCTGCGGCCTTAGGAACCCTTAAGACCAGTGATAAACCCTAAACCCTAAACCGAACACGAAACCCGAAACCCTAAACCGCAGCCTAGGTTTAGGGTTTAGGTCTTTTGGGGGGCCCTAAACCCTCAACCCTAAAACTTAAGGCTTAGGGGTTTAGGGTTCAAGGCTCTGTCGAAGGCTCCGATAAAATGGGGGATTCTCCTTGGCAGCCGCTTCTGCCTGCAGGGAGAAAGCTCTCACAACAGGTTTTGCACGTGGGGCTTCGGTCTTTGGGTAGAGGAAATCCCAGACGCCAGGCAGGAGGCAGGCCTCTTGTTGGTACAGGCTTATCGAGCTCAGAAGGAGTGTAGATTGATTGCCAGCCTAAACCAACTTGGGTCGCTCCTGCACCCAAGCCCTAAACCCGCATGTCCAAACCGCTTACAGTGCAGAGGCGTGGCGCCTACAGTGCCTACAGCATCGCTGCTACTCCTACAGCTGTTCTAACTGCAACATGCGCAACCATGAGCAGTAGCGGTGGCAGCAGCAGCGGCACCCCATAAACAGGCACCCCCACAACCACCACCGCCATCGCCAGCAGCCCCACAACGACCATCACCAAAACCACCATTAGCAGCGGGAGCAGCAGCAGCAGCAGCAGCAGCAAGGGTAGTATTTCGAAGTTTCTCAGCATTTGTATTCATAGCCTTCCCGCTTCTTCAGCGCCGAAAGACGAGCCCTGCACCTGAGCATGAACAAAGCCTCATGAGACTGCTGCGCACACCTACACCCCGACCTCAACAACCCTGAACCCCCAAACCCAAGTCTCGCAATCATGAACCCCTCAACTCTACCAAGCTGAACCGCTGAACACCAAACTCTAAACTCTAAACCCCGAATCTGAAACCGCATCCGTTCCACCGAAGAGGCTTTGGCCTCTCTTCTTCGGGGAGGAGCTCGTAGGACGCGAAGAACTTCGCGAGCGGGTCGCCGGCAGTCGCCACCATGGTGAGAAAAGTCGTAGCATTAGAAGTGGTAGCAGTAGGTACTCAGGGTGGTAGTGGTGGTGGTAGTAGCAGCACCAGCAACGATAACAACTCTGGATGACCTGACAACACTACCAAGAACCAAGCCTTATAGTAGCGAACAGTCGGGGAAGCAAGGTTCAGAGGTCTCGAGTTTAGGGATCTAACATTTTCGCGCCTCCGTAATCCCAGAGCCGACTGGCTGCAAGGGAGGAGACCCCCAAAGCCGAAACACTGTGCTCGGAGGCGCAAGTCAGGCACCACCAACAGCCTAAGCCTCTGAAGCAAATTCCCAGAGCTTGGGATTACGATTGCTGTGCATATTGGGATCCCTACCCTATCACGTTCAGCTTTGCTACAGCTTCAGGTTGACGGTCGTAGTGTGAAACCCTGAACCTTGAACACCAAAACCCGACACCCCAAATTCCCTCCAGCCCGAACCCCCCTGACCCCTGAACCCTTTCTGCACCTGTCCTTGCCAACATACTATCATACGTGCAGCTTTAAGGGTTTAGGGCTTAAGGGGGCTGATGGTTTAGTGCTTGGGGATTGAGACTCCGGAAGCCCTTCAGCAAGCGGCATTTCGATAGTCCTGCTGTTCTATAGTGGCCCCTTGAGGTGAAATCCGGCAGGAAGACTTCGGGTCTGGGCAAAAACCCTAAACCCCTAAACCCTAAACCCTAAACCCGAAACCCCTAAACCCCTAAACCCCTAAACCCTAAACCCTAAACCCCTAAACCCTAAGCCGAAGTCCTTGATTGCAGGGTGCTGGAGCCCCGGCTTCAGATCGAAGCTCTGGAGAATTCTGTATGATCGTGAAATTTAGAGGCCAGCCGAGAGAACAAGAGCCCCTAAACCCTAAACCCTAAACCCTAAACCCAAATCCGGTTGATGGGTTCAGGATGTGTGGCTTAGGGTTTGCTGCACGGTAGAGAGCAACTGGCCTGATCCAGACAGGAGGAACACCTCAGCCAAGAGGTGAGTTGGGCCAAAGCGGGGCGACCGGTTCTGGGATCGGGCCTACCGTGCGACGCCTGAGAGAAGTGGGAGGAGTCTGCGATGCAACGGCCATTTCCGCACACTACTCTCTTCTGCAAAAGCCTAATTCTTCCGGCTCCCTAGAATTCACGCAACGAAATCTGTAAAACCGGAACTGGCCGCACACTAGGGCGCCTGAAAGGTCAGTGAGTGTCGGTTCGAGGGCTTCGGGCTTCAAGGTTCTATTTCCAGCTCCTCTGGCCATCCCCCGGAGAAAAAATGCGTGAAACGTCACGAAGCCAAACTCTGAACGGACACTACCATTTCATTGATCAAATCCTGCCACCTCTCGAAACCTTCAAAAGAGCATGGGCGTCGGCCTATTTGAGTGCTCAGGCAAGAAACTCGCATTGCCCGACTGAGACCTCGAACCCTCCGCAGACCCAAAAACTCGTCGAAGCTCCAACCCCCTTTTACCACCCCTTTCAAAAAGCAAAGCCTAGCTCACTAGGGCCGGGCTGAAGGAGCCAGTTGCCCTCCGCGAACCGGCATAGAGCTAGGAAAATTACCTCGGAATACGCACATTGGCATGGCCAGTTGGTTCTAGGGCTTCGGAGGCATGTCGTTACGTCGTTCTGCGCCCTTCTCCCAGTTCCCGGTGTTGGGCCAGAGCTTTGAGGGTCGAGGTTTGGGATGCAGGGCTGAGCGTTATACCGTTGAGGGTTTTCTGGAGCACAGCTAGCAAGATGGTGTCATCTTGCCATCTTGTCACGACCGCAAGAAACCCTGCGTACATGACTCATCTATGACCATGACATCATAATAGAACAACGAATATACGCCATGACCTCAATATACTGTCCAAAACATAACAGCAGCACCAGAGACATGATCAAATCAGTCATTACCAATACTGACTGCATTGCAGTGGAGGTTGAACAAACAGCAGCAGCAAAAGGAGCAGCAAGTTCAGCAAGAGCAACAGCAGCAGCAGCAGAAGCAGTGGTGGTGGTCGTCGTCGCGATTTCCGGGCCTACATACAGATCTCTCCAGGCATATTGCAAATTTCAGGGCATATGGGCACCAGATGCACCATCCTTACATCCCCGAACCCTGAAGCCAGGGACCAGGGTCCCTGCACCAAGGGTGGCAACGACATGCATTGGCACCTCGGCGCCGAAAGCCTCAGGCCCACTCGGACCTCGGCGGGTTCAGAATCCTAAACCTTAAACACAACACGCTTAACAAAGACCTCGAGCCCCTGCCCACCCTCCCAGAAGTCTGTGCTGAGCCTGCGGCGTCTCTGAGCCCAAAAGACACCTACCTACGTCGTCTCTTTTGCGTTGAAACACACAAAACTTAGGTGAGACTGAGCCGGCGGCGGACGGCGATGGGGGTGAAAACAGGTCATTCAGCATCCAAAGAGTCACGGAAGAAAAGGCCTGCTTCTTTTTGTGAACCTCTATCTCGGTATGGGGTCCAAGCAAGGTGTTTCAAAGGTCAACCTCTGCCTCGGTATGGGGTCCAAGGGCTCAGGAGTCAGCGCAAGAATCGGCAGACAGTCAATAACGGGAAAAAAAAACAGGACTCGTATTCAGCGTCGTGGGAGCGCGCTCGCCGCACCCGTTTTGCAGCTCTGGGGGTCGAGGTCGAGATTAGCGGCGCAAAAAACTATCTTGCAAAGGCCTGAACAAAAAACTACGGCCCTTTTTTAATTCAACCTCGACGGCCACACACTACATAGGTGATAGCGGATGCGGCTTCTCGTGTCCTTGTCAGTGCGTGTCGTCAGGCATGGATGAGCTAGTGAGCTAATTAATGCACATCTCTGAATTCCCACCAGCACTGCTTGGCAGTCTGAGAAGGATAGTACATCGCGCGGCACCGAGCCTGAGCATGGCAGCCAGATACTGTTGGTGGCGTCCTCGTGCCCACCTTCCAATTTGTCAAATGGATCTTGAAGGGATGAGTTAGTTACCATAAGTTTCTGTCATAGACTATAGTAAACTATACTGCGCTATAATATCCAGAGCATGCTATACTCTCACAGATTATGGCAGGGAAAGTTTGAGCCGCTGGCCAGAGCTTCAGCTTGCCCAATCCTTCGGCCCCCGAACGCTCTGACTTCAACTCAAGTACCGTACTTGGATGATCATTTAGGTGTGTAGGGTTTAGGGTTTAGGGTGTAACTAGAGTTGTAAGTAAGGTAACTATAGTTATGTCTGCCTATAACCCTCATTAAGGTACTTTTCTCGCCTACTTACTAAGTCCCATGACCCTCTAAGTACCCCACGACCCAAGACGTGGAAGAACCTCAGGTCCGATACTTTGGGTCATGCGGCCAGTTGTAATGGTAAAAAATAATTTCAATAATATAAACTAAATAATAAGAATAATAATAGCATAAAACGAATAATGGATGCTACATTAATCATACATAGTAGTTACGGCGAAGAAATAAATCAGCCCTGACCCCAAGCTGCCTAAGCCTGGATTTTTTTCAGAAACCCGGAACCCAAGAAGGACTTTTTTAAAGCAGCCGAAGTGCCCAAGGCTACATGGGAATGCCGTAACAGACCTCAGTTGCAGAGCTGGGGGGCTCTTTTCAGGTCGGCGTTAGGGCCTTTAGGTGCTTGGGCTCATTCTTGCGCATCGTGCTCGTGGGATGCAGGTATGTTTTCAGGGAAGCTGTTGTCGCTCTTGCACCCTCTCCAGCATGAAACGGGTGCTTGCTTTGTTGGGCTGTGCTCGTAGGGCAGATGCAATAGAGGTCTTGAACAGGACTTCGCGCGGCAAGATGCTGCTTTGATTCGCTGCTCTGGGGTTATGTAAGAAGGATATCTAGCCTTGCTTTTAGCGATCTGATGTTGTAAGGTGCATCTGGAAGGGCAGTGTTTCTGGCATCATTCTTGAGCTTCGACTTTGCATCAGCAAGTTCATGCAAAAGTGACGCTTAGATCAGAGAAGAGTAGGTAAAGTTCGACCGAACCTATAGAACCTATAGTCATAGAAGATGAGCCCAAAAACCCTTGTACACTACTACACAACCTATCCGTCTCTGAAAACCTCACGCAAGCCTCCCTGTACCCTCCATCAACTCTGGGGCCTCAAAGCCCCCGAGCCTCCCGACCCCGAAACCCTACCCAAACTTACCCTAAACCCTAAACCCTAAACCCAAACTTGCTGATGAGACGCCACTGCGGCCCCTGTGAGGTTTGGCAGCATGCAGCGTGGCCGCAAGGATCTCAAGGAGGAGAGAAGGCCTGTTACAGGACGCTTCAGGCCTTTACTGTAAAGTTCAATAAAGAGTTTGGGGTACACCCTAAGCCCTAAACCTCAAACCTTCATCCCTAAACACCAAGCACTTGTTTGAGGACTTGAGCCGGCGGTTGGCACGTCTCTCCAGCCCCAGGCTGCCTTAGAACCTGGGTTCCTAGCAAGACCAAAACGCTGCAAAGGTTGAACGACCCTCGTGCCCTAAGGGATTGCAGAGGGGTGGCGGCCCTCTTGTGCAGTGCCCTTGCTGTTCAGAAGTCAGAATCCAGGCTCCGTCTCTTCGCCTCACTGCAGACTTCTTGTAAAGTAACCCTAAGCCCTAAACCTCTTAACCCTAAACCCTAAGCCTCGAAGGAACCCTTAAAACCCCAAGTACGCTCGAAGCTTCACCTCGGCATCGGTCCTGAATTCAGGTCGGATCTTGCCACGGCAAGGCACAAGTCCAAAAACCTAATAGGGTTTTGGGGTATATTGTACTACGTATAAATATATTAAGGAACCCCAGAGGTGATATTGTGCCTGTAGAGGTTGTGGCTTCGAACCTACACCCCAAGCGGAGCGCAGCTTAACTAAAGCCACTCGGCCGTGCCTGCTTGGCCCTCTTCACTCACGCCCTTGAGCCAGTCCTGGAGGAGCCTGAAGCGATCTTGGCGCAAGTTACTCCATGCTTAAGGGTCACTGCACATGTCAGGTTCCTCTTGCACTGAACGCGCGCCTGCTGGCCAGTCGATCCAGGTCGCCACCAAGTATGTCCCACCTTTGTTTCACTCCAGGAAAGGCTAGCAATCCTTTACCGCTCGGGGCACTTGCAGCGTGCATTGCCAAAGTTGTTCAACTTTGCGATAAGCCCAAACCCGAGGCCCTGAACCTCTGTTAACATGCAAAGCAAGCCCCACCAAAGGCTTCCTACAGCACACCTCAAATCGGGGTCCCTGAGCCCCACAACAAGTCGTCCCCCACCCTTCTAAGACATCGCACAACACCAACTTCCAAAGGCGCCTCATCAAGCCCATGATGCCCATGTGACCCCCATCCCCATGCCCTAAGCCTGATGCCTTTCTAAGGAACCCAATGCTCTGAAGCGCTCAACCCCCCGAAAAACCGAACCCCATCCACACCCCTACTACCCAAACCGCAAGACCCGAAACCCCTAAACCCCTAAACCCCTAAACCCTAAACCCCTAAACCCTAAACCCCTGAACCCTAAACCCTCAACCCTAAACCCAAGCCGGAGGTCCCGAACTCCTCCGAGCCACTGTGCCCCGAGCACCAGGGGGGCACCGCCCAGCAAAGCACTGCTCGCGAGGCCGAAGGACTCGAAATCCCCTCGCCGACCCTGCCGCAGATCGGTGTGCGGCATATTGCGGGCTCATAGGGTCGAGGGGGTTGAGGGTGTATAGGGCTTAGAGGCTTTATGGGGTTGAGGGCTTATAGGGTTCGGGTTTTAGGGTTTAGAGGGTTTAGGGTTTAGGGCATACTGAGGCAGGACGGAAGCTCGACAACACCAAAGTTTTCAAGGATGCTGGGTACTGAAATTTTCTGGTCTGGAGGTTGTTTAACACTGCTTTGGGGTGATCGTGCTTCGCCGTCCTGATGTTTGTTAAAGAGGTTTTGTGATTTTGGGCTCCAGCTTGGACCACACAAACAGTTCTGAACTCTGAAAGCCCTTTCTCCCTGAAGCCACTCCAAAGTCCCTGCAAACTTGCACTTTCCGCCTGAGCACTGGGCCGCTGCAGCCGCACACTGCTGCAGCCCAGCAGCATGAGAATGGATCTGTTTCAGGTTTAGGAGTTTCAGGTTTTAGGGTTTTGGGTTTCGGGCTTAGGGTTTGCAGTCGTTGCTGCAATGTCTTACAACGTCTGGGATTCACAGGAAGCTATGAGGCTGAGGACCCATGCCTTCGAGGGATGTAACGCTTCCATCAAAATAGGCTTGGACAAGAGTGAGAAACCTAGCAATTCCACATGCTAAACCTGGCAGAAGCCACAAGCCCAAATGCACCTCCAAACATATGTCAATAGCGCCTCAAGTGGCTCATACATTCCCCGGTATACTCCAGGTTTGTAGCTTCCAGCAAGGCGCAGCGTTACTGTTTGTCTTTTGGATGGTGCAAGAGCTTACAAACGAGGGTGCTGCTGATGTGATGCTGTGTTCAACATCAATGAATAGCAAAGGTGGCAGAAGTACCGAGTCCTTGGCTGCAAGGTCCCTACAAAGGTGGCAGGGGAAGGTTTAGGGGATAGTACTGCTTCCAGGGTCCACAAGGCCCCGGAAAGGTCTAGGCCCCTAGGCCTAGGCCCAGGCCCACAAACCCCAGACCCGCACATCTTCAAACGAAAACGCTTCTGCTGCTGCGCATTTGAGCAAAAGGCAAAAGACAGCACATAAAATGTCTGCACGCCGAGGCCTGGAGACGTATTTGGTCTCGTAAGGCATCGGGGGAGGTGGGGGCATTGAGGGATCTTCGGAGACGTTTGGAAGGGCTCCAGGATGTTGGGCTTGAAGGCTACACCAATGCTCGTTAATGCAGATTGGCTGGCAGGATACTGGGATGCTCCAAGGCGATAGGCTTGTTTGTGAAATCGGCGCCGCAAGCAGGCCTCGGGTGAGCTTTGCTGAAGGCACCCGAAGCCTTTGAACCCCCAACCCGACAACCCTCAACTCCAAACCCAGCCTCCGAACCCCTGAACCCTAAGCCCTAAACCCTAAAACCTACAGCCCCTTAAAGACCCCGAAACCACAGAATCCTCGAAGACCACTTTACGCCTTGCCTGAGGCCCCGCTTGGCAGACTCGCTGCCCGGAGGCTCTTCCAGGGATTCTTGGGAGCTCTCCTGGACAAGGCCCCCCAAACCCTAAACCCTAAACCCTAAACCCTAAACCCTAAACCCTAAACCCTAAACCCTAAACCCCCAACCCTAAACCCTAAACCCTAAACCTAGACCCTAAGGCTTTGGCAGGTTTTCCGATGGTGTAAGGGTCTTTAGCGTCTCCTGGAATTCCAGGGGTCGGGCTTTCTGTTGGGGTTGTCGGGCTAAGGGGTCCACTGGGTTATGTTTCCGATTTTTTTGGGGGTTTTGGTATTGTGTTAGAGTCGGAAGACCATACAGGAAGGCATCGGGAAACCAAATAATTTTGGAGACTCTTTGGATGTCTGGGGTTTGGGTCTGGATTTAGCTCTGGGTTTAGGTTCGACTGATATGTCTGCCTGAATGATTCCGAGGCCTAGCTCATGCATACAACGGCCCATGCCTCTGAGGATGTTGAACATGCGTTTGCATGTGCATCGGCTTGATTACAAGCACCGTTCTTGTTCTTTGTCGCACGCAGGACGTTCTGAACGTCATATACAACATGCATTCAGGCTGCCCATGTTATATAAAGTGTAACAGAGCGAGCGTGTGTACGTATGTGCATGTATGTATGTATGTATGTATGTATGTATGGATGGATGTATGGATGTATGGATGTATGGATGTATGTATGTATGTATGTATGTGTGCATGTATGCATGCATGCATGCATGCATGCATGCATGCATGCATGCATGCATGCATGCATGTATGTGTCTGTGTATATGTACAGGGCTCAGATCGACCCGTGAGGGAT